CGTCAGGTGGGTAAAACAATTTACTTTTCGAGGGAAGCCTACCCTTATGAGTGCTTTTACTGTTTGCTTATTTCAGATAGTACAACCCACATGGCTTACGGATAAAAGCCGTCCACTCGTACCCAGCGATGGCATTGTGCACATCAACCAAAAGAATTTGCAAGAGGTAGCAGAGTTGCGTGATGAAATACAAAAGGCGGTTAATGAGGGCCGCTTTGCAGTCGACATCGAACAGGTGGGTACCCATAATACTTGGTTTGTACATAGCTAATTTGCGCAGCGCGCTTTGTAATTAGGGACATTTATTTTCAAATTATTTACTCTTGCAGGATCAACCGCCGCAGGCACCCCCTTTCAATGTGGACCAGCAAAATGCGCAGCTGGGTCCGGAATGGCCGCCGCTACCGCAGCCACTAGCACCGGCAACCGCACCGCAATTCCGTCCATTACCCTTGGCACCCTTTAATCAAGCTCATTGGGCATTACCTCAAATGGTGCCTTGGCTGCCGGTGGATCCGCAGCAACCCAACCTAATGCAGCGCATGTGGAGCGATTTTATGGAGAATACGCGTCGGATGTGGGCAAGAAATTAAAATATTAAAAGGAAATACACACCAAAGTACGAGGATTAGAAAGTAGCAGAGTGCTGCGTAAAGTCAAACGTGAAATGTCTAGGCATAGATATTTTTTACATTGAAATTGGTTAAAATAGTTCGTTACTAAAGTGTTGCAAGAAATGTGCTCGATATGTAGTTGTGTTTATGATAGTTATAATGCTTTATATTTATGTGTAAAAATGTATACATACGTCTTTACCGTTATGTTTTTCAGTATTATATTTGTAAGCCTAAGGATTGGCAATGGAAACGCTATAATTTCTGTGAAATGAAGTAAAAACCTGCAATCACTTATGGAATTTTAAGGAATCTTCCTTTTATCTTTTTGAATAATGTTTAAACGTTGTATGTATGTAAATAGCATTAAATAAAAATAAAATTGCAATTCTCTCAAGTTTCGAAATGAAGAATTTCCTCTTGTTATTGCATTTCTGCTTAAATAATTCAGTTCGGCAGTAAATGTTTTGTTTCGACGCGCTTCAGGCAAAGCGATATGATAGAAATAGGATAGTAGTTATATTCGAGGATGTATACTGGTATGATGGCTCTTGGCGTGGTATCCGGATCGATCTGGAGAGCGTGGAAGGGACCATCGTCAGATCAACAAGCTTTAATGCGAAGCAGCTATCACTGTAAAGCGAACACTGCGGAAATACTTATATTCCTCGGTGAACAACCGCCACCCATCGATATGAGCGAATGGCGACTAGAACAACCCTGGATTAACTCAGCTCCGGCTGGTGCAGCCGCCTAAACTCGTACAGAGCCAGGTTAGGCCCGCAAATCGCAGATACTTGCGTCAGAAACGGACCGCACAACACCGCCTACTTTTTCGCATGCCCCACATACCCCACATACCCCACCCAACTTACACCTTTAGCACTTCCTGGACCTAAGGTTGGAGGAGTCAGATGAATAAGACTACCAACCAATTCGGGAACTGCGTGCTTATACAAACCCAATAAGGTCGAGGGTATGCTTA